AAAGCATAACAGCCTGTTTTCCACAATAGAATATGCTTAATGCAAAGAAATTGAAATTGTACGTATTATCAGATCATAGTGCAATATAATTGGAAAACAATGGCAAAAGAAACCAAAAATTATATAAACACATGGATATTAAATAACACCCTCCTGAACAACAAATAGGTCACAGATGAAACTGAAGAAGAAATTAATTTCTGATTTTCTTTAAAAGTAGGAAAATTTATTGGAGAAAAGGAATTTAGCTCTTGAGAGACAGGAGAGGTCCCGAATGGCTTGCCAAGGAAGTTTGATAGCGCCAAATCATAAGTGTATATAACATGAGACAAAATTATGATCAACCAATCTACAATTAAATGACAATTCCAATATGACTTACTGGAACTTGTGGGATACAATAAAAACAGTCCTATGAGAGAAATTTATACTGCTGAATTAACACACCAGAAAAACAGAGCAGGCACAAATAAATAACCTAATGTTGAATGTCAAACTTCAAGAAAAAGAGCAAATTAAACCCAAAGTGAATACAAAACAGGAAATTATAATGATCAGAGCAGAAATTAATGCTACTGGGATTTTAAAAAAACGTACAAAGAATCAACGAATCAAAGAGTTGGTTCTTTAAAAGACTAAATAAAATTAGCAAACCATTAAATAACCTTATAAAAAAAGGGGGCGGGACCTCGAATCTATGCAATCAGGAATAAAAAGGTTGAAATTACAAAGGATCCCGTATAAATTCAACAGATCATCAATATCTACATCAAGAATGTGTACTTTAATGAAATGGAAAATATAGAAGAAATGGACAGATTCCTAGATACACACGAATTACTAAAGCTGAATCAAGAAGATAAAAAAAATCTAAATAAGTCAGTCAATATCAGTCAATGAAAATAAAGCATTAAAAAGCAACCAACAAGGAAAGCCCAGGTCCTCACAGAATCACTGCTGATTCTACAAAAAATTTAGAGAACATGTAGTGCTATTATTACTCAAACTCTTTAATGAAACAGAATAGGAAGTAATACTACACTAATTCCTGGAAGTAAGGATTATATCAATATCAAAACCAGAGAAAGATTCAACCACAAAAGAGAAGTGCAGGCCAATCTCATAAATGAAGATGGATGCAAAAATCATCAACAAGATACTGACAAATACAATGCAGCAAATCGTCAAAAAGATTATACACCAAAACTAAGTAGAATTCACCTGTAGGATGCAGTGATGGTTCAACATGCAAAAATCAATAAAGGTAATACATTTACAGAACCAAGCATACAAATTACATGATCATCCCCACAGATACAGAAAAAAGCATTTGACAGTGTCCAACATGCATGATAAAAACTCTAAGGAAAACTGGAACAGACAGTGTTTATCTCCGTCTTACAAAAGTAAAAGCCACGTATGACAAACCTTTCACTCTAAAATCAGAAACAAGACAAATCAACTATCACCACTCCTATTCTATATAGTTCAGGAATATTAGCCAGAGCAATGAGACAAGAGCAAGAAGGAAAAAAAAAGAAATAGATAGGAAAGGAAGAAGTTAAATTATCAGTACTCACAGATGACACGATAGTATACATGAAAGACCCCAAAAACTCCACTAAAAGATTCCTTCAATTAATAATCAAGCTCCTTAGTGTAGCAGGATGCAGAGTTAGCACTAAAAAAAATCAACATCATTCTTGTACCTGAATAACAAACTAGAATTTAGGGAAACAACACCTTTCACAATAGCATCAAGCAACTTGAAGGACTTGGGAATCACTCTAATAAAGAATGTATAAGGCTTTTACATTGAAAGGTACAGTGCTATGAAAAAGGAAACCAAAGAGGGTATCATAAAATTGAAAACTATCAGCCATTCTTGGACAAGCAGTATGAATCTGTTAAAAACAGCAATACTTCTAAAACTGTTATATAGATTTAAAGCAATCCAATCAAAATACAAAAAGCATACCCCACAGAACTAGAGAAAACAATTCTAAAATTCATATGGAACCAGAAGAAACCTAGACTAGCCAAAGCAACTTTGGGCAAAAAAAGTCAAATCAAAGAACACTACAATCACCAATCTGAAATTTATTACACAGCTTACATTATAAAAACAGCACGGTAGTGGGAAACAAAACAAAACTAGACCTGAGGATGAGTCAAACAAAATAGAAGATACAGAAATAACTCCAAGAACACTCAGCTACCTTATCTTTGACAAAGGGGCCAAATACATTTACTGGAAGACAGACAGCCTCTTTAATAAATGGTGCTAATAAAACTGGTTATTCACATGCTGAAAATTAAACCTAGGCCCATATTACTCACCATGCATTAAACTAAAATCAAATGGATAAAATGTCTAAATATTAAAACAGAAACTGTTTATCTGGTGGGAGATGGAATAGGTAAAATTCTCGAAGACATAGGTGTGGGCAAAGGCTATATGAACAAAAGCCTAATGAGACGGGAAATATTGCCAAGAATTGACAACTGGGATCACAACATATTAAGAAGTTTTTGCACAGCAAAAGAAACCCCCAGCACATTGAAGTGACAGCCCAAAAGAGTGGGAAAAAAATCTGTACCATGTATTCCTCAAAAAAAGGAACATATAAAGAACTAAAAACAAATTAGACTCCCAAAATATAAAGACCAAATCCTGAAATAGGGATCTGAAATGAATATACACTTCTCAGATGAAATAATACAAAAAGCAAATGAATATATGAAAAAATGTTTAACATCACTGGTCATTCGAGAGATGCAAATCAAAACAACACTGAGATTTCACCATATTCCACAAAGAATGGCTCTCTTCAAGAAATCCACCAACAACAAATGTTGGCAGGGCTGTGGGGAAAAAGGAACTGTGTGCTCCACTCACTGCTGCTGGAGTATAGACTGAGAGTGGTCCAACGACTGTGGAAATCTGTATGGCAATTCAAAAGGATCAGCAAAAATATGATAATGCATTGCAAAAGGAAGGAAACGTATATTAGAAAATGAAAATTGCAGACAATGTAAAATACATTACATGTGTATTTGTGTGTGTATGTATATACACATATATATCCAAAGTGTGTATTCTTCAATCCTATGAAACAGAAAGATTATAAATTTAAAATTTGATAGCAAATATACAAGGAAATAGAAGGCAGCTGTGTTATCTTCAAAGTCCTTGTATAGTCCTAAGATCTGAATGTGACCAGGTACCGCAGAAGAGATGAGTTACAAACTTGCCACACCAGGGCCTAAGGTACAATCAGAAAAGATAGTGGATCTAAGTCATATCTTTTTTTTTTTTTTGTCTTTTTCTTTTTTTTTTTTATCAGTACCAGGGATCGAACTCACGACTGCCTGCTTGCAAGGCAGGCACTTATGCCACTGAGCTAAATCCCCAGCCCAGTCATATCTTTTCTTACAGAATTAAATTCTCAGACATGTCTAGAAAAAAGAAACTTTATTGACTGAAAGATTCTACAGAGATCTGTTTTCTACCTTTTCATTTGGTCCTTGATAACAGAATTTAAAGGAAAAAGATGGTAAACAATGACACATGACAATGTATACATGATAAGTTTATTGACATCAGCTTTGTAACAATTTTCCATTTACCAAGTAAACACAGTAAAGTCAGGAAAAAGCATATGAAAGTTAAGATAAAAAACAGGCTAAGCAATATCATACTGACACATAATGTCAACTGACAAATACCTATTATCAATTAATGTAGACATTTAGAAAGCAGAAAATTAATTTTCAAAATTAAAATACCAAACAAAACAAACCCTTTGCTACAACACTTTCACTATTATTTTTGCCTCCAGTAACATTTGAACAAAATCACTTGTAAACGATAATGAGTTGTCACATCATGTTCTTTGGATACTTGGGATATTTTCCCCCCGTGCCTGGAGCCTCTATGGGTGAAAAAGATAATGAGAAACTAAACAGGTTGGTGCCAGAAGGCCTTCTCTCTTCAGCTAGAGTAATACCTCTTCTATTTGTTTCATATTTTAAGATGCTGCTCAAGATAAGTCTGTAATAGAAGTTTCAGTCATTCCTCTTTTGAAAATGCTTAGATACTATTATTTCACAAAATTATAAACTAAGAATGATTTAGATAAAAATAAAACAAAATTCTTCATGAATCAACTAGAAAAAACCGTAATTATTGCTGATTTCTCATTATATTTTTTTCTCTCTTGTTTACCTTTTTGCTAAAGACTTGACTTATAAAGACTATAAACTAGTAGAGGGTAGGCTTGCATGTCAACAATGGCCATTACAAACAATGGCCAAGATGATTCTGTATTTGATGTAACAAGTCTCTCTGCATTGGAAAGGAATAACAAATACATATGGCATACCTAGTTTCTGATAGAAGTACCACTTTATGTACCATCATAGAAACTTTCTTGCTCCCCTGTAGCACACTACAAATCAGCCAGCACATGTGTTTGTGTGTTTACTCAAGCATTAATATGCATGAAAGAAAATCTTCTCAATTAGGAATATAAATTATTTATAATTTTGCCAATCAAAAATAAAAATATAGTATTTGTTTCTTTAAAAAACATGAAGAACCCTACTGAAGGCTTACAGAATAATATATAAAAGTTTTTTTGTGCATTTAAATGTCTGAGTTATAAAAAGCAATGGAGGTAAAAAAAGACATAATTTAAAGAACCTGTAAATCCTATTTTATTTTCATTGTTACTAAAATTTTCTGAAAGTTACATGATTTTCTTTCATTTATTCTGAAATACAGCCTTCTTAGGAGTTAAGTTTTACCACTTGTCATTTACTGTGCTCTCTTTTAAAGTACACTGTGTTAAAAATGCAAAAACTTTTTGAAACAACAGTCAAAATTTAATCTCTTTATATGAAATGTAAACATAATTCATTTTATGAAACTGTCTTTAAAAATAAAAGGAAAAAGATATTCTCAGTGTGTAATAGTACAGAATTTAGAAAAATCATACCTCATCAGTGTTATAGATAATCTGGAGTCCTGAAGAGATCATTTCCACAAGGTAAAGGATATAAAGTGACACTGCATTTATCTGCAAATATACAGCAACATAAAAAGGTTAAATAAAAACAAAATATTATGCAAAGAAATTAAATGTGAAAGCTAAGATTATAAGTTACATGTTTAAAATTGTCTTGATATGTTTGATGCTACAGTATACGAAGTTATACTCAAAGATTTTAAGGAAAGAGACACTATGGTAACTACTTTTATGTCGGGATATCTGGTGGTGAAACACTATTTTGCTTAAATGGTTGTGTTTTGCTCTGTGCTGTTTTGTTGTTATGTCCTCTTTTATCTCAATCTCCTTTTTTTATTATTTACTTTTTTATTTTATCTTTGTAAATAAGGGAAAAATAAAAAAATAGCAGGATATATTATAGTAACCCACTTTGATTTCCTATTAACTTGATTTGAAACCCTGTATTGCTCTCACCATCTTGTTTCGACTGATTTTCCTCTATTCTGTTTTGCTTGATACTACCAAGTTCGAGAGGAGAGGCAACAACTGTGAAGACAGTAAGATTCATTATGACACCAATTCTGGTTTGACCATTATCTTCATTTGAAGTCCTGTAATTTCTCAAATGTTTTGGTTTTATTGGTTTTGTTCTTTACTGTTTTGTTCAATTTTATAATAACTGATGATATAGGCAATTCTTTTTAATATAGCAAGAGGCATTATGGTAACCAATGTTGATCACTTTGTATTTTGTTTTTACATTATCTATTATGTCCATTCTTTTGATTTGACTGACTCTGTTTTGTTATATCACATTTGGTTTCATTCTCTTCAAAAAAAGTAATATGAACTGTGGGAGTAATAAAACCCAAAATGTGTAATTGTCATTGTACAAAAGAGAGGAAAAGAAAGTGCTCTAAAGGATATAACTGCATGTATACTTAAGTGTATAAGATAGATAACCATATTACTGAGTTTTGTTGGATCATTGAACAGAACTGTTTGTAATCTCACTGTTTGAATGTCCGCTGTGTATGCTTTAATTTTATAACTTGAACAATTATTTCTAAGATGACAATATGTAACCTATTAACTAGTGATTTCTTACTGTTTTTTTTAAAATTCTGCATTACTTGTACCCTTTTACTGTTTTGTTTTTTTCTTTAAATAAAATTTAAAAAAAAAAGATTTTCAAACTCTGTCTAAAATACTTCCATTTTGAAATAGTTTTGTCCCAGAGAAAGCTATATAGTATCATTCCACTGGTGTATGTAAATGAAAAGTTATTTGGCAAAACTTGACTACTATGCCAGAACTCTGTAATTAATAATAGGAAGTGGGCTGAGGATTTAGCTCAGTCAGTTAAGCGCCTGCTTGGCAAGTGCAAGGTCGTGAGTTTGATCCCTGGTACAACCCCCCCCAAATAATAATAATAATAATAATAATAATAATAATAATAATAAGAAGAAGAAGAAGAAGAAGAAGAAGTATATTTGGAAAAAGTCGTATTTTCAGACTTTAGAAATCTGTTAATTTTAGTAAATGGTATAACATATGACTTAAAATATATTTATAAACAATTTAGCTTATGAACAAAAGAGGTAGCCTTTTAGTTCATTAGTTTATTAAAAACAGACATTATAAAATCTAATGAAAAAGACAATATCCACTTTCACAAAAAAAAAAAAAAAAAAAAAAACCAAGATTCTCACAGAATACTGAATGGGATGTATAAACTGTCAGGTATAAAATCACAAACGTTGCATACTACAACATGGCTAATTTTCTATGTCAACCTGACTGAATAAAGGAACACTACATATTTGGTAAAATATTATGTCTGTGAGGGTATTTCTAGAAGAGACTGGCAGGTGAGTCAGCCTGAGTAAGGAAGGTCTGTTCTGCATGTGAGCAGGTACCATCTAACCTGCTGAGGCCCAGATGGAATAAAAAGGTGGAGGAAAGGTAATTTCTGCCCTGTCTCCTACAGCCAGCGTTCTCTTTTTGCCACCTGTGAACATCAGAACACCAACCTCTTTTTTGGGGGTGCCAGAACTGCCAGCAGTCCCTTTGTCCCAACTCTTGATTCTCTGGCCTCCAAGAGTTTTATACTTTGAGCTTCTGTGGTCCTGAGGCTTTCAGATCTGAATCAAACAACACTACCAGCATCCCTGGTTTTCCAGCTGCTAAGACAGGACTTAGCCTAGTAACCATGTAAGCCAAGCTAGGCGTGGTGATACACATCTATAATTCTAGGACTCTGGGAGGCTAAGGCAGAAATATCACTAATTCAAGCCTTGCAATTAGGTAACTTAGTTGTAGACCCTGACTTAAAATAAAAATATGAAAAAATTAGGCTTGGGGTATAGCAAAGACCCTATATTTAACCCCCAATACCACAAATCAAAGAAACAAACAAAAACCACATGAGCCAATAGGCCAATCCAGCAACAGAGCTTTAGAGAAAATGAGAAGTGACTGCAAATAGGTTTCTTTTTAGGGTGACAAAAATGTTTCAAAATTGACTCTGACAACGGTAGTATAACACCAAAAATACTCTAAAAACCACTTAATTGAATGCCTCAAATCTGCAGTATATGAAAAATAGCTCAATAAAGCTGTTAATAATAAACAAAGAAAGAAAAATTTAAGGATTTTAACAACTCAGAAAACTATAAACCTGAGTTAAAAATGAGAAAGACATAATTTTGTTCACTTACAAGTCTAATACAGAAGACTATTATACTAACAGCTTTGGTAGCTTGTATTTCACTGGAGTTGTTTCTAATCCAAACTGCATGCCATCAAGATAGGTGTTAGCAGAAAACTATCGGTGCCTTCAAAGTCTTGAAAAAAGCAGGACTTGTGCCACCAGGGTCGCACACTCTTGGCAGCACTCTCAAACCCAGGCTGACCCTGGATGTCTCCTGGCTTTCTAGTACTCAGAGACAAGTGAGTGCTAGAGTCTTCTTGAGGTTCAAGTAGGCCACAGAAGAAAACAGATCATTCAGATTTTAGATCTTTTCAAACAACAAAAGTTTGTCAGTGACCTCTTTCAGAAAATAGTAAGAGTTTCATCCCAACGAAAGGCTCATCGAAGTATCTTCTTCAAGCACTGACACAAGCTTGTCTCAAATATTTGAAAGAAATTTTATTCTGCCAGGCAGGGTGGTCAAGTCAGTTATCCCAGTAATTTGGAAAGATGATGTAGGAGGATCACAAGGTTGAACCTAGCCTGAGCCACTGGGTAACTAAACATGATCCTGTCTCAAAACAGGGACACGGACACACATACACAGACACACAGACAAAAATAAGGTGAAAATAATAATAATAATAATAATAATAATAATGGCTGGGGAAATCGCTCATCGTGAATGAACTGGACACAATAACCAGTACTAACAAAAATTTGTTTTAAATTCCTACTGATAGCCAACAATAGCAATACTTGAAAACAAAAGAACTATCTGCTCTGACTTTTGAAATGTCTCCATGAGAAAATACCAATAACTGGAAAAACAGTATTACCAAATAACAGAATGAGTAATGTTTATTTAATACCTATAATTTGCCAAGCATTATATATCAAGAGCTTAAATTCTAGGATACAAAAGTAAATCCCAGAAGTGAGATTAAGTGATGAACACATACAGACCTAGCTGAACAGAAAGATCTCTTAAATTCAGAAGTTTAGGACAGTTTAGATACATACTAGGACCTTGTCTCTTAAAACAAAAACAGAAACAGGATAAAATAAAACAGGCAAGATGTATGGCACTGATCTAAAAATCAAACAAAAGGACCAATGTAATAGAATTTAGAACCAAAAAAAATTTTGCAACAAATTGATTTTTTAAAAAGACAGTAAAAATAGACAATAAAGAAAAGCAAGTCTCAAACAATGGTAAACAGTGACAAGAAGATACTGCATGTCTGGGAACTAGATCACAAAGCCAGAAAACAACTTTTTAAAGAAAAAAAAGAACTTCAGGAATTCAAAAGGAGGTGACAGAAAAATTTCAAACTACAGGATAAAGCAGTCTGTTAAATTAACCCTGGTTTATATGGAGGTGACCTATCTCAGCTCACACAAGGAAAACCTTGAGAGGGGTGGTAGATCCAGGGAAAAACAATGGACTGCGACTTCCGTGTTACACCAACAAACTCTCATAGCTAGCGTTAACTACAAAATCATCATGGGGTTTTACCTTCAAAGTGACCCCTTTTGCATGGCAGACTAGTGTTAACAGTAGAAATCCAGTGCAGCACTGCCATATTTCAGAGTATTTAATCAGGAACCATTTGGGGAGGGAGTTAATTTCTTAAGAATGAGCAAGAAAGCAATACAGAACAAGTACACATCAGGATTTGAGGTCATGCTACCACAGTAACCAGGTAGAAGACCAGGTAGAAGTAGTAGCACAGATAGTGCAGGTTAGACGAAGACCCTCTGAAGAGTTTAAGCTCAGCCTAGAAAAGACCTGGGCATCTGCCCCTGCAGTGAAAAGCCAGGCCAGTCATGTATGGTCTTCCGAAAGTGCTGGTGTTAAATCCAGTGACAGCCTCCGAAGTTTGTTGGCATTCTACATCTACCAGTATGACCAGGGATATCGCCTGGCTTGGACAGTTGCCATACTAGACTTGTATGTACAGAAAGGGCCCTTGGCGTATGTGTGTGGGGATCTTACAAAATGAACAGGCAATAAAGCTAGGTAAAAAAAAACAGTGACCTGGGGAACATAGAAGGATACAGAAACTTAGTTATTTAGTTAACTATTATTGGATTCTATTCTAACATTAATGCTGACATAGTTCTTGCATTTAGTAGATATTTAACATATGTCAGTGTTTTGTTTCTCTTAGCCAGCATTATCAAAATAAAAGCAAAATCCATGCAATTGATGAAAAAGGTAAAATTACAACGGACCCTGAAAAATCCAGACAATCATCTATACATACTTTGAGAACTTACATTCTAATAAGATAGAAAATGCAAAAGAAGTAGACAAATTCCTAGATATATATATGAACTACCAAAGCTGAATCAAAAAGATATAAAAATCCTA